CAACGATAGCAAGAGCAAACTCAAAGCTGGTCCCGGGACCTCGGCTTGTAAGAATCAGGCCGTCCTTTTCCACACGCTTCTCGGAGTAGCTGTAATGACCTGCAAGGTAAAAGTAAAAAAAGTTACATCCTAATGACCTATGCTGGACAATAATGACTATTACTCAGCAACCCAATTCACTGTCACAGCATTTTGTTGGTCTCACATATATACGTTAAAAAAAAAAAAAAAAAGAACAGCCATTCAACAATTAGCAGGCACTCCAAGCTCTTGGAAGCACTATATGAAGATATTAAAGAAAGTGTGTACAGCAAAGGGTGGGAGAAAATAGCAACAGCTGAAACAAATAAATATGTGCAAGTTAAATGCAGTCGCTAAGACCTTAAGTAAGTGTTGAGGGAGAGGTCAGAATGAAGGCTAATTATTCACATTTGCATTTTACAGCAAACTCTCAAGTGTCAATTCTGTAAATGCTGGGGGTGCCGGGAGAACAGGGGAAGGTGCAGAATGTTGAAGGCAGAAACTACTCTCCGTGTGTCAAAAACAAACAAGAACAATCACAGAACAATAGATTGGAGGGAGAGAGGGAAATGTGTGGGGTAGAAACCACATTCATTTCTCAGGGACTATTTTCCTTCTGCATCCCCCGCAATTGGCTTTTTTTTGGGTAAATATAACAAAGCTGGGATTCTTCAGCATGGACTCCCCTTCACACCAGGCAGTCATCAAACCTCTCCCACTGCACACAGAACCAAGCTCAAACTGCTCACCAATGGCAGAGCCCCACGTGAGCTGGCCCACACCTCCTTCCCAACCCGCACCTTCCAGGCTCCCACTTGGAGATCTTCTTACTGAACACAAGTTCTTTCCCGCCCCAGGAAGAGGTGCAAGGGCTGCTCCTCCACCCAGAAAGCTCTTCCCAGCTCCTTGGTTTCAGCATCAACATCAACCACTAGGAGAGGGTATCTATGACCTTCCTCTCCAAATCAGGTCCCTCTGATCACTCTGTCACACACCCTATTTACATCCCTCCCAGCACTGACACAAACTGTAAACAATTTGTTTCCCTGTTCACTGTCTACTCTTTTATAGGGCTGGCCCTTCACCTGTCCCTGTCTGGCCTAGAATATTGATGGCACAAAGGAGGTACCCCTTAAGTATGAGATGAATGAATGGCTGACTTTCCTCGACACAATTGCTCCTCTCTGCACCTATCCACTGCTTTAAGGGTGTCTATATTATTACAGCCCTCCTTTCTGCTCTTCCACCCCTCCAATCCATGCTCAGCACCCAAAAAAGGTAACTTTCCACAGTGCAAAGCAGAGCACATCTGGTTGTCACCCCAGGAAAGCCCTCACCAGCTTTCTCCAGCACCTGAAGGTGACTTTGAACTCCAGTTCATGAAGCCCTGTGGGGTCTGGCCTTCACACAGGGACTAGACTAGAAGGGAGACAGACAGAAAAGAACCTGCTGTCCAGGTGGGAGCTACTGATGTCCTGGTCTCAGCTGGTGACAGTGGTAATGGAGAGGAAATGAAGGTTTGAGATGGACCCTAGAGATAAGGTGCCTAGAACTCAGTGAAGGAGGCTGGAGGTGACAAGGCTTCAAGGACGACTCCCAGTGGTGTCCTGGGCCACTGGGTGATGGCGATACCACTGAGTGAGGTGGGGACACTGAAGACAGATTTAGGGGAGGGATTAAGGCGCAGGAGGTTCCTCTGTGAAATCTTACACCATCCGCAGGCAGCCAGGAGACAGCTCTGACCACCTGCCCCTGAGAAGGCCTCAGAGCGTGGCATCACTGGCTCTTTTTCCTGTTCCCAGTGCGTGCACCAAGGAGCAGCTCAGGAAATGCTCAATGAACACATGCAGCACAATTCATCTAACAACCCCCTTAAGCGGAAGCAATGTGCTTCTGCTCTATTAATGAGCTCCAGAAACCACACATCACTGTTCAGTTCTTTTCAAAGGAATTAAGAATACCTACAGCAACTTACGTCTTACTATCTCATTAAAAATCAAGTCACTCACTAAAATAACTGAATAGAGTACATCAAAAATTTCATATCTACACTACTACAGAAAAAGAGCATCTCTATTTTGAGAGA